TAGGTTAGGGTTAGGTTAGATTAGGTTAGGTTAGATTAGATTAGGTTAGATTAGATTAGGGTTAGGTTAGATTAGGTTAGGTTAGGTTTAGATTAGATTAGATTAGATTAGGTTAGTTTAGGTTAGGTTAGGGTAGGGTTAGGTTAGATTAGATTAGGTTAGGGTTAGGTTAGATTAGGTTAGTTAGATTAGATTAGGTTAGGTTAGATTAGGTTAGGTTAGATTAGATTAGGTTAGGTTAGATTCGATTAGATTAGGGTTAGGTTAGGTTTAGATTAGATTAGGTTAGTTTAGGTTAGGGTTAGGTTAGGTTAGGTTAGGGTAGGGTAGGGTAGGGTTAGGTTAGATTAGATTAGGTTAGGTTAGGTTAGGTTAGGTTAGGTTAGATTAGGTTAGATTAGATTAGGTTAAGGTTAGGTTAAGTTAGGTTAGGTTAGGTTAAGTTAGGCTGCAACACATTTAAAAAAGAAAAATATTTTTTAAGGAATAGAATAAAATTAGTACGTATGTCCTTCTGTAAAGTTACAATTTTTTAAAAAGAATAAAATTTAGAAAAAAAAAAGACAAGTCATGGTCAGAATGTCCTGTCTGAACATTTTAATATGTGGATGAATAAAGTTTGCAGAAATAGATTGAAAAAACTAAGCTAAACTAAACCTACAGAAATAAAACACCAGGATAAATAATGTGAAGTTTTACAGACAAAAACTGTATTATTTTGGGGTTTAATATGAAAACATGTGAGCCAGATAAGCAGCTCAGCAAATACCAGAGTGTATAAAAGAATATTATAATATTTGTGCAGATTAAAGATGGATTTTAAAGTAGTGGTTTGTAGCAGATTCCCCCTGATTCAAGACTTTATGCTAAGCTAAACTAGACAWCTGGTAGATAAAATCTTCTATTAAACTGACAAATTTGAAGTTATTTTTATGGTTATAAAGTTATTTTCTTGGCAGTAAGTTGAAAGATCAAACATCTTCCTACTTGTTGTTGGATCACTGAATGTAAGATATTAGAACATTTTGTTGAGCTTTAGAAACAACTGTCAGGAAGTGGTTTTAAGAGTGAAATCAAAGCTTTCTTTTAACATTTTATGCAGAAAACAGTCTTTAGTTTAAAAATACCAAATAAGTAAGGAAATTAGAATAACTTGGAATAGAAGCTACAATGTATTCTTCAAAGACAAAATATTAAGCCTTAAAGGAAAGGCCTTTTTTAAAATAAAACCTTACTTACCTCAACTTTGTGCTGTGGTAATCCACAGTAAGTAGGATTAGATTGGATTTAAAACTCTAATTTTTAAACCAAAACAAACTTTTTTACAAAATGTATGCTCTATCAGTCTTCAATTAATAAAATAAAGTGCTTTTAATTAGTTTTTTAACTGTTTGTCCTCCTGTTGTCAACAAAAAAGAGCAAAGCGACTGAAGCAGCTTGTTTCTTAATTTCCAGATGACACTCTTGATTTAGTGCAAGTTTCAATTCAAAATGTTGAAGAGTAGTTAAAACAGAAGCTATATCGGATTTTTTCTTTCAACTGATTAGTTTTACTTTGTGTTTGTAACTAAATACAGTTTACATAATCAGAGTGAGTGAAATTATTTTCTATATTCAACCTCTTTGTAACCTTTTATTTCTTTTTGACAAATTGACTTCCTTCTGTTGTTTTAGACAAACATCAAGCTTCCTCAACCAATTCTCCAAACCTCAGAGGTCAAACTCAGACGATAAAGCTGAGAGCAGAGAAATTGTTGTTATTGGTGCCTGATTCGCTCTCAGATTAGCATGTTAAAGAGCTGAAGACGTTTGCATCTCCACAGAGAAACCTCAGGACAAAAGGAAGCGCTCTTTCTGTTGTTCTCCTCCTCCCTGTTCACCTCCCTTCTCTCTGGTCCACATTCGGTTCTAATGGTGTGAAAATTTGGAGCTGGAGGCTGGCAGTCAGTAAAGGTCACAGCTCTTCACTGCTGACTGTCTTTAGGGCACAAACATTGTTCAAACTTCATTTATAATCTGGGTTTAACCATTCAAAACTCATAAGTCAAGTTATTTATTTATTACTCCACACGTTGGTTGTTTTGTACAAACTCCGGACCGGCCGGAAGCGATGCTGAGCTCAGAAAACCGCTGCGTCTCTTTGAGAGTCACTTCCTTTAACACAACATCTCATGTATGAATGAGAGGAAGAAGCTGAACGCTGCCTGCTGACCGACTGACTGCTCTCTGGACCTCTGCCTCTTCAGAACCGTCCAATAAACTGACAAACACAGCCGGAGTCAGAAATGACCTCGTCTTCAGCCCTTTTATACAAAAGTTAAATATTACAGAAAGCTGAGAAGGAAAAAAGGTCAAGACTGTTTGTGGACCGGCTGCTGAACTTTAGTTGAAATGTAACTGAAGCGACGCTCCTTAAAACATAAAGATAAAAACTGTCTTTTACACAATCTGTAGAGAAATTAAAAAGATGAATGTTCTCTTGTTCATCTTCAGTTGTGAAGATTTACATTTGGGGATACAGAAAAGTTGGATTAACTAACTATGGTGCTAAGATTTTAAACTTTTATTTGAGTTTTAAATACAAAAGTGAAAAAAATAAAGATATGCATGACACAATCTGAATGACTTGAAATAAACTACAGTTTAAGTCAACAAAATAAATCAAGATGAAAATATTTTTAAGTAAACCTACTAAACTTTAATTTTTACCCAATAGATATAGACAAACTGTTTTTGCCTCAGTAATATGTAATTTCTCAGCTGTAATAATTTTTGGCATTACATGTTTAACTTCAACTAAATGTGAAACATCATTCTCGTCTCATTGCTATGTCTGAGCTCTGCTAACAAACAATAACTGAGCTCTACCTGGTCTTTCATGTATAGAAACAGTGTTATAACACGTCCTCTTATAAACACTGAAAAGTACTACGTGTGCCACTGACTAAATGTGAAATAAATGATGCAGAAATACAATTAAAGTAAAAGTAAGAGAGTTTTACTCACTGTTGAGTTGTGGTGAGCAGCTGTCATCTTCAATTCTGAACTCTCCCTCTTTCCGACTTGGACTTCCCACAGGAGGGGCGTTCCAGTTTAAATTTAAGACTCTTAAGTGGGAAATCACCCCCCCCCACACACACCCCCAAAAAATTGACATGCATTATGGGAGATGTGGTTTGTGGTAAATCCTGGCTTATTTTAAAACATTAATACATCTTTGAAGCTCATTTGGTCCATGTAAAATGCTATGGCGGGCCATATTTGGACCCCAGGTCTTGAGTTTAATCAATACTTTTACTTTTAATACTTAAGAACATATTTTATATGGAAGTTACATTTGGTACTTAAATAATGTCAATGTTGGGTACTTTAAGACTTTTATTAGTATTAGTTAGTTTAGTATTCTTAAAGGAGAGTAAGATGCTTACTTTGACTCACTTTGAGTTACTTTTTTTTAGTTAAACTGAATATTTTTTTTGAGATGGCACAGATAAATGAAAGAAGGTTGGTCTTTGTTTTGGTTGTGTGGGGGGGCAGAGGGTGATGGTGGGGGACGGTGGGGCGTTTAACTGTGGGCTGTTGTAAAACATCTGCTCCTTTTTTTGTTCAAAATGTCCCACCTCCTCACACACCACTCACCATAAGTGATAACATCTTGGTGACGTTTGCATCATCCCAGCTGAGATGTTCAATTAAAAAACAAATATCTCAGAGGAAACAGGAAGCTGAAAATCTTCCCTGTGGACTCCTCTGTCTCCCTCCTGTGGCTGAGGCTGAAACATCTAGACGTGGCATACACAACCCAAACTTCCTTTATTTCAAAGAAAGTTTAAGTTGCTGCTGACCACATCATGTGAGTCAGACACACCCATCACACACACACCCATCACACACACACACACACATGCCAGCCCCACATCTGGAATCACTTGGGTTTCAACCTCTGCCATGACTTTTAGCTCTGCTGCACCCAAACACAAACCCTCCTAAAGTGGCCAGAAGACTTGTTTTCCTCACGTCCATTTTTATTCCAGACGAGTCGTTCAGGTTTCCTCGTTATCTGCTCCATACGACAATTTTACTTTATTTTACTGAACTAAATTTACACTTCAGATGAAAACAAACTGATTGACTGTGCTTGTGATTTGCTGATAATACATGAAAATATTAAGGTTTAGCCAGAAGCAGCTTTGTCCCACATTTACTTTTAAATTAAGTGATATCTGCCTTGAAAAATAATAATTATCATAATAATAATAATTTTAAAAACTTAGTTATAGCTTGTATTGTTAAGGAAAACAGTAGCATAATCTTATCATGGTTTAATCATTGAACAGGCCATAAAATAGTAATAAGGTCGTTTAAGTCATTTTGTTCATAAAACTCACATTTTCTCCTCAAAGTTCCAGCATATCATTTATCCTGCAGCAGAAAGACCTGAAGAATTATATTATCAATGTATAAATTTGGATCCATATAAAAGAAAATCATTGTGTTTCTTTGAGCACAAAAACTGTCTTCATGCCCCAAAAATAAATGTATGAGCAATAGTTTAATTTTTGATAAACCAGGAGGCTCTCTTATTTGTTTCTTTTTGTACAATAATCTAGTTGCTAAATATAAAATATGGGGCTTTGTCATCGTCTTCATTACCTTCTTCTTTTCTTGTCGTGTTTTGTTGCGCTCCGGTTAAAGCTCGACTTATTTCTGCTCGATCTGGTGGTCATTTCTCTGAGAGCAGTTTTATTTTTCATCTGTCTGAGCTGGGGGAGGGAATAGGAACCGAATGAATGGGTTTCCTTTAGACGTCGGCCTCCATCCCTCCCTGCTTTCCTCCCTCAAAATTGCCACCTCTCTTTCTCTCTCTCCTTCTCTCTGTTCTGCTCTGCCCTTCACGCAGAGAAAACTTCCCCGTACCTGTCCGTACAGGAAGAGCTGTAGGGCACAGAAAAGAAAGAATTAAATAAACAAGTAGGGCTGGGGGAAAAAAATAACAAAAGAGAGAACAGGGAGAGCAGGACGAGCAGACTAGAGGAGAAGAGAACAGGAAGAGACAGGTCTGGAGCGGTCACAGTTGCTCTTTTTTCCAGCAGTTTTTTTAATAACTTTTTGAAACCAGGGGTTATTTTGGTCCGTCAGCGTTGGAGCGGTTTAGGATGGATGCCATCATGCTGCAAGAAAAACTGGTAGAACGACTTCTGTGCCCACGAGTGAGAACGGCCAGGCAGAAGGTAAAGAGATGGGAACAGATTTTAGGTAAAAATGTGAAAATATCAGGATTTTTTTTTTGTACAGGAGTTTGAATGTTGCTTTTTTTCATGAAGGTGTTTATGGTGTCAGATTTATTTCTGAGGGATTTTTCTGCAGCTTTATCAGCAGTTTGTTTTTGACCTACCTGTTTTTTTTTTTTTTTTACAGAGCTGCTTCTGTGGTAAATGTTTTTCTAAAAGTGGGGCCTGTCAGAAATGCCTGTGACAGGTTGTGACAGAGGATGCTCGCTGTGCGTTTGGAGAGCAAATAAAAAGGAGCTATCCAGCTCTGTTGAATGTAGCTTCTGTCTGTGTGTGAACGCTCTCTGCGGGGCGTCTGAGTTTTTATTTTTACTTCTGTACGTCAGCTCTGTCGTTCTGTCAGACGCAGCAGAAGAGAGAGTGTCTGCCCGCCACAACGAGAGGCTGGTATCTCCGCCTCTTGTGATTCTGTGACTTTTAGTGGAAAGTCTGAAGCGCTGGTTATTCTCAGCTGCTTCTGGAGGAATGCTGCGCACAAGTTTTTCCATCCACTCGTAGATTTTCTGTCTGTTGTGGGGATTTTTTTTATTGCAGGGCTATTTGGTGTCTGCTTCTAATTTTAACTTTTTTTTTTGGTCTTTTTATTGAGCAGCCAAAGCAGACATTGTTTTATAGGCATTACGGTACAGGGACATTTTGCAAATATGAAATTAATTATGGGCCTAAAAGAAAACAAAATGTTCAAAATGTCAGAAATCAAGCAGCATAAATCAAAAACCTTTAAGTGACGGTTCCGTATTAAAAGTAGTCAGTGTCTAACCTGTTGTAGACAGCAGTCATCTAAGGCTGCTGAAACCTAAAAACTTTGCAATGGTTTGAGTAAAAGCTGTGTTCTGGATTGGTTTTTGATTTCTTTTGGCTTCTTCAGGCTGAMTGAAAAGGTACTGACTGAAGGAGAAGTGGTTCTGAGAAAAACATGAAGAACAGAGCTAAACTCAAAAATCAAGAAACASARAAAAAAAAAMCAAAAGGGAATAAACATAAAAATAAACACAAAACACCCCAAAACAGATTAAAAAAAACCAAAAGGGAATAAACATAAAAATAAACACAAAACACCCCAAAACAGATTCTAACAATAACAAAACAATGTGAATGGGTTACAAAATAAGGTTGTAAAAAGCAGCATTGAGCAACAGATTTTCTTCAAACTGCTCGTCCTGAGACGTTTCTTTGTGTTCAGGCAGAAACTGTACGCTTCAGGGGCACAACGTGAGTAACGAGACGTCTTTGTGTTTGGATTCAAAACTTCAAGTCCTGACGAGAACCAAAGCTTTCTTCAGTTTCTTCTTTTCTTTTACTGAAGCTCTGCGGAGAATAATGAGAATTCACCTGCTTCATACCGGCTTCTGCAGCAGAGGAACCTGTTTCTTCACACATAATGTGTGTTTATTTGAAGCTAATGAAGTGTTTTATTATAAATGTCTGAGAAAAATATCTTAAAACATTGAAACTTTAGGTTTTTGTGTGTGTGGGATCAGTCTTTCAGTCTTTGGAAAGAAAAAAACTTTACCTGCTCACATATGAGCTTTTTATAAGCAACATTAGTTGCTTATAAAATACAAAAACATACAGATATAGTCAACAGATTTATAAACTGCATCATTGAAAATTTTATTCAGAGTATTAAATTATAATTTTGATGCATTAAAGCATGAATCAGTTTAGTCAAGTGCTAATAAACCAAGTTTATTCTTAATTTTCTAATCAAACAAATGTTTTAGCAAAGCAACATAAAAAATGCAAAAATTACGGAAAATAAATGTGCTTGAATATCGTTTACATTATCTTTTTTTTAAACTGTAAACTTATAATAAATTTCACACAAGTTTTTTCTTGAGATATTAACTTCTTAATAAATCTTTCGAATATTTATTTATGGCAACAAATAAAGATTTATTTTAGTCAGAAACTAGTGAAAATTTTCCAAAACCACCAGTCATCAAAAATTGTTTCCTCTTTTGTGAGTGATGAATTTCAAAACCTTGAATAAATTTTTTTAATGTTCAGTTATTTTTTGTTTCAGGAGAAGCAGTATGTGGGCTTCGCCACTTTGCCCAACCAGGTGCACAGGAAGTCTGTGAAGAAGGGGTTTGACTTCACGCTGATGGTGGCAGGTCCGCTTCTGTTTTTAATTAATAAACATGAATAAAACCTGCTTTTACAACTTTAAAGATTTATTCCAGGGCAACATTTGTTACACCACGAACTCAGTCTGTTTGTTTTGTTWATTTTTTTAGATATAAATTCTGTGTTAATCATCTTCTGTCTGTGTTTGCAGGAGAGTCTGGGATGGGAAAATCCACTCTGGTCAACAGCCTGTTTCTCACAGACCTCTACAAAGACAGAAAGCTACTGAACGCTGAGGGTCAGTATTTATATCTTTACTATTCAAGGTTTTTGCTTTTTAAAGGTTGAATTTTTCAGTTTATGTTTCTATTTCACGTGTCAAACTGAAGGCCCGCGGGCCAAATCCAGCCCTCAGTGACATCTTATCTGGCCCCAATGTGAAATAGTTTTGTTCTTATTTTTTTAGTGAGAATAAGAATAACTTGTTAGATAACAAGTAAACATTGACAAAGATTGGCCCTTGTCTCAGACCGAGTTTAGAATTTTGGCCCCTTTGTGTAACTGAACTTGACACCCTTGGTCTATTTGATGAGTTGGAAGCATCACAGTGTTTGTAAGAGCATTTAAAATGTTTTTTTCCCTAAATATAATTCTTATTTTCACAACATGAGGTGGTTTGTTTAAATGTAAAGTCATAAAATAATGTCTGAAATTCAGAACGTAGATGTGCATCTACAAAAGATTAACTTTTCATTTAGCTTTTAAAGTCATAGAGCTAACTGTGGTCAACTGTCTGTCTGTTAGCAAAATATTTCACAAGCCAAAATAATTATTGGATGTACACAACCACAACTGATTAACCTTTGGAGTCAATTCACTTCAAGATGGCCTCTGCAGACAACTGCCCTTAAAAAACACAAAAATGACAATAACTCTGTCGTTTTTATGGATATTTAGCTCAACTTTGGTGTGGTAGTAGCTGAGACTGATTCATAAAACATACTCTAAGTATTCCCCATGTATGCTACATCTTTGCTTTAAACTTTGGCGTTAACTGTTTGTGTCGGCTCTTTGTTACAACTGATTACATTTTGGAGTCAATTCAAGATGGCCCCCACAGCTAATCGATCAGAGCCAACACAAAAATGGCTGAAACTTACATAAATTTACAGATATTCATCTAAACTGTAGTAAGGGGTAGTAATGTATTCATTATCTTTGTGCTGATGCTGTGCAGAGCGCATCAACCAAACCGTAGAGATCATCAAACACACTGTCGACATCGAGGAGAAAGGAGTGAAGCTCAAGCTGACCATCGTGGACACGCCCGGATTCGGAGATGCTGTCAACAATAACGAGTGGTGAGTTAAGCTCTTCGCTGGTCTGTGCGCTGATTCAGACCTGGAGCTTGACTTATGAGTGTGTGTGTGTGTGTGTGTGTGTGCGTGCGTGCGTGCGTGCGTGCGTGCGTGTGTGTGTGTGTGTGTGTCTCTCACTCTGTGTGTGTGTGTGCGTGCGTGCGTGCGTGCGTGCGTGCGTGCGTGTGTGTGTGTGTGTGTGTCTCTCACTCTG